GTCAAGCAATGCATATTCCTGACAAAGAGTACAGCATGAATAAAGGGACAAAGGCAAGAAACAGCACAGTATGGCCACAGGTTTAATGTTGCCGGAGCACACAGCTGAGGCAGCGAGTGGTGAGTGATTAGGCCAGCGGTGGGCTAGGAGCAGATGATGAGAGCACAGCTCAGACGTCATCCTAGGTGGTGGAGAGTGAGGAAATTTAAAGCAGGGAATGACATCACCAGAGGTTAGTTTAGGGGCAGTGGAGAGGGCAAATTTGAGGGAGACATAATATGGAAGAAGCAAAACTTCTTAGGAGGCATTTGCACAAATGAGTAAAAGATTTGTGTTGATATTTAATAATCACAGCTAACAGTTAGCATTTATTAAAGTTATTAAATAAGCATTACAATGAAATATTGTCTTACTATTTCAAACCACCCTATAAGTATTATTGTTATCCTCATTAACAAAACAAACAGTTAAATAACTTGTCCAAGGCTGGGATGCAAGCTGGACAGTTTGGTATCAAAGCTTATGCTCTTAAATCACTATGCCATTTGTTTAATTTCTGTCTCTTGCATTAAAATAACAGCTCCATGCAGACAGGGGCCATACTGCTGGTGTCTTCCACTGTGCCTAACCTACATGAAAGAAATAGTGGGCTGAACTGTGTATAGATACAAGGAATATTTTGGATGCAATATTAGCTAATTTTTTGCAGACTTTGGTGATTATTGACTAAATGTCTATAAATTCATATGTTGCTCCTCCTCAAATTCATATGTTCAAGTCCTAAGCCTCACTGCAAACTCTAAGGAAGTAATTAAGGTTAAGTGAGATTGTTAAGTGTGGGGCCCTAATCCAACCGTTAGGCATCCTTATAAAAAGGAGGAGAGACCAGAGTGTGTCTTATCTCTTTCTCTCCCCTCCCCGCCCCTGCCCCATCTCTCTCTCTCTGTCCCTGAATGCACCCAGGAAAAGTCATGTGCGGACTAGTGAGAAGGTGGCCTTCTGAAAGCCAGGAAAAGGCTTCTACCGGAAAGCAAATCACTGCAACCTTGATCTTAGACATCTAGCCCACACAACTTCTGCTGTTAATCACCCAGTGTATGGTGATTTGTTATGGGAGCTGGAGCGGACTGAGATGACGGTGGGTGGTGAAGGAGAGGTTTCTAGCCTGGAAGCCTAGAGGGGCAGTGGTGCCGGTAACTGGGGTAAAGAACCCAGCACGACGAAGAGGTGAGATTGGTTATGGTCAATGGAACAAGCAACACTAATTTTTCTGAATTCAGGGTTTACCTCACTCAACATAGAAATATGGAAGTTAGCTATTTAAAACCATTTATTCAATAAATGTTTATTCATCCCCTAGCCGAAGTGGCCACTGTGCTTATCCTGAGAATACTAAGTAAGTAAGATTCATTCTCTGTCGTCAAGGAGCTCAGAGTCCACTGGGGAAAAATAAGTTTCCTTTTGTAAAGCTAGTGTGCTAGCTGGAAAGACCACTTTCCTTTTCTCCTAAAGACCTGGGGTTCATCAAAATCCCATATGGGCAAGAGCTTTGGAGTCACATGAACTGTATTTGAATATGGGCCTTGGAATACATTAGCTGAGTGATGATCATAGGCAGTTTTAGGGTTCTCACTTTTAATCACAGAGTGAGATCAGACGAAGGTAGGTAAAAATGTTTTGTAAAACTCAATATGCTTATTAGCAATTATTAACATCATAAAACTGACATTTCTAACTTGCAGAAACTACAGGTAAATCAGTCATGGGCAGCAAGTCACAGGTGAAAGGCCAGCTTGTGGGTGGCAGGAGTTCTGAGATGGGAGGGGGAATATGACTGGGGTGGTGGGACATAGAATAGACTTTGGGGTCTTACAGACCTAGTTCAAATCACCAGTCAGTTATCAGCTATGCAAAATTGAGCAAGTCATGTAATTGATCTGAGCTTTAGTTTCTTCATCTGTAAAATGGATTTAATAATACCTACCCCAGAGGGTTGTTCTGAGTTTATCAAGGGCTTGGCGTGGTGCTTGGCAGAGTGGTACCTCCATTAATGGAAACTGTTGCTCCTATTAAAATATTATCATTTGCCTCTCCTACCTCCTAAGGGGCTTGTGTAGGTAGTGAAATAACTCAAGATGCCAAGAAGTGAGGGGAGTTGAAGGGCTTTTATGACTTACTTAAAAGGTCATTTTTAAAGGTAAACAAAAGAAGAGTAGTCCAACTCAACTTTTGTCTCCTATGGTGTAAACATCTCTCTTACCACTGTAAGTGGAAATGACCACTGTATTATATAGCTTAGAGCCACAGGACAGCCACCTTGATAATTATTCCTTGTATTTATTCTATTCTAAGTAAATCTATTAACCACTGTTAATAAGAATTCTCCAAAGGCAATGCTTCTCAAACTTTAATGTACACCTGAGTCACTTAGGGGATTATTAATATGCAGACTTTTATTCTGTGTATTTAGAGTAGGGCATGCAATTCTGCCTTTCTAAAAGCTCCCAGGTAAGGCCCATGCTGCTGGTTGATGAACTATAGCCTGAGGAAGGTGCAAAGCTCTGAAGGGACGCGGACATATCTTCCTTGGCGTGGTATTCAATGTAATGGCCTGCTTCTCTTCCATGATCTACCTAATTACAAACTAACTACCAGAATCCTAACAAGCCTTTTTTGGACCAGATTTAGAAATTCTGCAACAGAACTCATTTCTGATCACCACTGACTTTGAGTAGTCTACTCTGTGCAAGGCACTATACAAGTAGTGTGCTGGGGATACACAGGTTAGTGAGACAGAATTCCTGCTTCTGAAGACTACCCTCACTCTAAGACTGTATGCCCTTGAAGACTGTTGACTTTCTGAGGGCAGTCGTACTGTCTCCCCTGTTGCCTCATACAACATAGATGCTCAATCAATACTAAACGTATGAGTCAATGAGTTCACAGGATTTTCATTAAAAATGTTTTCTCACAGCACTACCTTAAATGTCTTAAATGTCACATATCAGAGGTGGTTAAATTAAAATGAGGCTGATGGGGTGGGTCCTAATAAAATCTGCCTCGTGTCATTTCATTATAAAAAGAAGAGATTAGGACACAGAGATAGAGAGACTCCAGGGATCAGAACACAGCAAGAACGTGGCCACCTGCAAGCCAAGCAAAGAGGCCTCACAGGAAACCAAACCCACTGACACCTTGATCTTAGACTACCAGCTTCCAGAACAGTGAGAAAATAAATTTCTGTTGTTTAAGCCACCTACTGTGTGGTATTTTGTTACAGCACCCTTAACAAACTTATACAGATTTTCAAAGTTTTTATGCTCAGATCCAAGACTCCCTTTTGTAAGGTACAAAAAATGGAAGATAATTCTCAGAGTGGATAGATGAACTTCAGAGTGCTGTGAGAATGAGGTATGTAAGAACCAGGGGGAGACAGAGAGAGGGTGAGACAGCAGCCAAATTGGGCTAAAACAGCTGCAATATATATACATTTCCTCCCCTTCTTACGATACCAACACAAAGTCTGGGGACCAACACAAAGTCTAGATTCTCTCTTCAAATCTAAGACTGAAAGCAGCTTTTTGACTTTTTTCCCCTTGGCAGCAGAAGGACGACTCCAGATATTTTTCTGCATGCAAAGAGCTTCAAGTTACCTATGACGATAGGGCAATGCAATTGAATTTTTGATAAACAAAATAAAAAACACACAGTCAAATGAGATTCCTGCTAGTCACATGGAAGCTATATTAGAAGCCTAATTCTAAAGTCAGGGAATTATTATTTTTTGTTTCGCTTAGCCGTAATAAACAAGCTAACTCATATGTATAGATGAGCGCCTCCTTCAAAAAAGTCATTCTGGAAGGTCCTGCCCTTTTTCTAACCATGTCACTGTTCATAAATCATTTCTGGAATTGTGTTCAGAGTCTGTGAGATAGTCTTCTGAATGCTCTTGTGGTGACCCTTGAAGGTGGATTTAATTTCTGAAAACAACCAAGTGTCCTTCTGGATCAACTTGGGTTAACTAAGGGGACCAGTCAAACTGTGGAATGCCAAGAGCATGGACCCTAAAGTGTCCAGGCTGAAGTGTCTTGAATGAATTGTACTCAGCCTCAGAAGACAGTTTACAAAGACAAACCTCAGACATGCAATGAGCATTATAACATGTAATATTATAAACATGGCATCAAAGGGAGATGGTGACTGTTCTGGAAGGAAACACACAAGTTTTCTTTTCAAGTGGATATGCAAGTTTTCTAGTGGTTCCCTTTACCAGACTGTTTCCTTATGTACAGATCTATCCTACCTCATAAGACTACAGTTCCCAGTAGTACAAGGACCTCACTTCCCTAGTCAACTTTTAATCTCCAACCTGGGTACTTGACCTATGGAGCGAATAGCTGATGAAAAATTAAACAGGTGGGGGAAGAATATCTAAGGTGTTTGGGGCTTACTCTATGTCATTCAAAAGGCATAAGTAGGACCCAGAGAGAAGCTTGGGAGAAATATATTTGTACTCCATGTAAGAAAGACATTCGGCAGCTGGAGCTGTCCAGCAGTGCAGTGAGTATCTCCTGGAAATAGTGAGCTTCCAGCCTTGGAGTTGAAAACTAAGGCTGCTTGTTATGAGAACCTGTACAGGTTCCTCCTGTAATGGATGAAGAGCTAAATGCAATGGCCTCCAAGGACTATCTCCAAAGTTCATCCTGCATAATACCTAGCAATTGGTAGGCCCTGAAAAAAAAAAATACTGGAATGAAATGAATGAGAAATACGGGGCATCTTGTGAGCCAAGCCAATGGGAAGAAGCTTGGAGCTCAGTCAACGGAAAGGAAGGTAGGGAAAAGTGAAATAAAAAGAGCCAGGGAGGCATGAGATAGGATCTATCTTGAGTTTTTGGTACCAAGGGCAATTGCTTTGGGTACCTGAAGCCTCACAAGTTTATGAAAGGGTAATACTTTTGCAGGGGGTAGGAGTTGAGGGAAGAGACAGACCACACTCACCCTTCTTAAACTCCTCCAGCACGGTGTCCAGCCGAGTATCATTGAAGACGCAGTGCAGTGGCCGGTTGTAGAAGCGGGTGACAGTGAGGAGTGGGGTGCAGTCGTCAGGGTCCACGAAAGCCAAGTCCTTGACAAAGAGAATGTCCACAATGTTGTGCCGCTGGTCGCCCTCGTACACCGGGATGCGAGTGTAGCCACTGCGCAGGATCTCGGAGACCGTGGCAAAGTCCAGCACGGCATCCGAGCGTAGCATGAAGCAATCTCCAAGGGGGGTTAGCACTTCCTCCACCACTTTGGTGCGAAGCTCCAGGGCGCCCTGGATGATGTTGAGCTCCTCCTTCACCAGGTCGTTGTAGGGGTCCGCGGCCCGCAAAGTCTCCAGCAGCTTTTCCCTTGTGTAGAAAGTGCTGATCTCCTGGCGCAGCGCCCAGTCTAGCAGGCGACCCAGTGGGTAACACACAGGGAAAGCGGCAGCCATCAGGAGTCGGGTCAGGCACACGCTATGCGAGGCGATGGCCAGCCCGTGCCGCGAACACACCGAATAGGGGCAGATCTCCGCGCCCAGGAACACGGCGCCGGTGCACACGAGCGCCGGCAGCCACGGGAAATGAATCCCCGCCTCGCTGTACTCTTCCCCCTGATCCCCGACGCCCGGCGGCAGCGAGGTGTACAGCCAGCCGGCCAGGGCCGCGTTGGCTCCAGCTTGGCCCAGGAGCAGCGTGCAGAGCAGATGGGTTCCCCTGCCGCGCACCGCCTGCACGCGGCGCGCCTGCTCCTGCTCGGCAGCCGAGCCGCTGTTCCGCAGCACCCGTAACTCCACCGGGTCCAGCGAGAGCAGGCTCAGGCGCAAGCCGCTGAACAGGGCAGACAGGGCGAGCAACAGGAGCGCTCCGAGCGCCCGCAGCCACGCGGGGGGCAGCAGGCCCCCACCCAGGCCGTACACCCGCGGTCGGACGCGCAGCAGGAAGCCGCCGGCAGCGCCGTGGTGGTGCCAGGCGCGCCCGTCCCAGGCGCACAGGGAGAAGAGCTTCCCGCCACCGCCCGCACCGCCCCGCTCTGCCTCGCCCTTGCGCAGCTCCCGCACTCGCACCTGGACTAGAGCCGAGCCCGCCACGCCTCCGGGGCGCAGGGGCCCGAGGACCTCCACGTCGGACGCCCAGTCGCTCTGCTCGCGGCAACGCTGAGGCCCTGGTGGGCGCGTGGGCACAGCGCTGGGCGCCAAGCTGCTCCCGCCCGGGGGCTCCTCGATAAACACGAGCCGGGGAGACCAGTCTCCGGTGTCATTCTGCCCCGGGGAAAGGGTGGGTGCGGGCACCGGTGCCGCGGGCGCCGAGGGCCCGGGTTGGAAATAGACGCGCAGGAGGAAACTGGTGCCTTCTGCCGCGCGTAGGGTGCCCCCTTCCAGGGACACGCGGCCTCCAGCGGTGTCCTCGGGCCTTAGGCCCAGCAGCCAGGCGGCGGCAGCCGGAGGCCGAGGGGACAAGGAGAAGAAGAGCAAAAGCACAGCGCTCCGGCTGCAGCAGTCCCGGAGTCTAACACCCACCGCAGCTGCCGCTGCCGCCATCCTGCACCCGGCGCGGCTGCACGTGATACTGCAGAAAGCAGAGCAAGAACTGGAGGGAGGAGGAGCCAGAGCCGGGAACCGGCGCCAGGCAGGTCACCACGTGTACACCCCCTGCGCGCGTGGGCGGAGGCGGTGGGGGTGCAGAGCCTGCCCAAGCAGGGTGTCCCCCCAGGAGGCAGGAGATGGCCACTCAACACTGCACTGTGCATAACCCTGCCACAGTTCGGTATATCTGAGTTGCAGCCTGGAGAAAGCTTGGTTGGAGCACAGCCCCCTATTTATGCTATAGGGCGCCCCTCAGCGAACTCCTACCCGGCAGTAATTCTCTGCCAGGCCCTCTTGTTCCCCATTGGCTGGGGAAATTTCCCATCGTTTTGCTTCTCCAGCCGCTAGCGTTCCCCCTTCTGGTCAAAAGAGATTCTGGAGGCAAGTCTTGAATCTGTGAAAATTGTGTGTTTAGTCTCAACGCCGACTGATCTTTCATGTTTAAGTTTTTCTAAATTACGTAAATTCAATTCCTTGTTAAGACTCGAATGTCCATCAGTAAGAAACTGTTGAAATAACTCATGATACCACTGTGCGAAGGAATACTATGCAGCAGGAAAAAAGAATGGCATTGATCCTTGTGTTTGTGATATGGAAAAAAATCTCTAAAGTAAATTAATTGAAAAATGGCACGGTGTAGAACAATGTGTGTACTGTGCTACTGTTTGTGTTAAAAGTATTTCTGTATAAATTTATATGTACAGACGTACATATATAAGATTAAGTTTAACATGCAGAGGATATGAAAGAAATTTGTAATAGCGTTCACCTTTGAGGAGAGGGGAGCAGGACTAGAGTCTTGAAGCTTGGTTGAGAGATATTTAAAATACAGAGGCCTGTGCGTGTACACACGAAGTTGCAAAGATAATACAGAGATACACTACCCTTTACTCAATTTCTACCACTGGTTATAACTTGACTATAGTATAATACCAAAAGCAGGAAATTGATATTGATATGAGTGTATAGTTTCATGTCATTTTACCACACATGTAGATTTATACAACCATCATTGCAATAAAAATGCAGAGCTATCAATATTTATTCTATCACCACAAAAATCTGAAAGGGAGACTTTTTACTGAATTCCCTGTATTGTTTGAATTTATCATGGGCCTGTCAGTTTATTTTTACTTTTGTGCATTTACTTTTAAATTTTATGTAGTAAAATTCACTCTTGGCTGACTGTTCTGTCCGTTTTGACAAGTGCACATTTACGTACGCACCACAATCAGGAGTAGTGCCATCGTCCCCCAATATTCCCTCTCACTGTCTCCGTGCAGTCAACCTTCTCCTCATCCCATCCTCTGGCAACTAATAAGTGGCTCTCCCTTGTAGTTTTCCTTTTCCAGAATGTCATAAGTTGAAGTAATACAATATGTAGCTTTTTGGATCTGGCTTCCCTTAGTTTGCATAATGTATTTGAGAGTTATCTGTGCTGTTGTGTTTATTAGGAGTTCATGCCTTTTTATGGCTGGGTAATATCCCATTATATGGATGTATCACAGTTTGTTTATTTACCAGTTAAAGAACATTTGAGCTAGTTCCAGTTTTGGGCAATTATGAATAAGGCAGCTATAAATGTTCATGTGCAGGTTTTTGTGTGAACATACGTTTTCATTTCTCCTGGGTAAATTCATCATAGGTCTGTATTACTTTTTTTAAATATAAAGGTAACATTAGTTTGACATACTACCTTTGGTCCTTCTTGTTAATTAAAAATATCATTGTTTTATGTGAAATCTTATTTTCCTTAGATGTTTGAGACCCCAAATATATTGATTTAAAAAGCCTTACAGAGGATAAAGCTCAATACAAATAGTCCCAGTTAAAAGTTATCTTTTCATAACAAACTCTAATCGTCCAGAGTGGAAATAGCCCCTCTTTGGTTTGGGACTAGATAGGCCTTAGGCTGCTGGTCACAGTCCTACATAGGCTTCCTTTTCACTCTGCGGGGAATGTGAAAGAAACCTGCTATTGCCTTAAAATACACTAGATCCTGTCCACTACCAGCTGTCTCTAGCATGGGTTGCTTAAGAGATAGATGGATGATTTAATTTGAAGCAGGAACATTGAGGCATTTATTGGCTGTATAGAAGAAAAAGAGAGGTGGGGTCATGTGATCATTTCCCATAAGTGTTGGGAAAATAAAGCTCTCACTTTACCCTTGACACTTAGATCTCTGTTCTCTCAAACTAAAGCTTCTCAGCATAAGGGTACGTTATCCTAAGAGTTCTCTCATCTCTTTTAGGCCACAGGGCTTTATCATCATTATAACACCACCTAACACCTTTATCAAGCTTGAGAGTTACAAACGAACTTCGTATTTATTATTTCACTCACACAATATTCCTGTGAAGTAGATATAATTATCCCCATTTTACAGATTAGATTAACTGACCAGTAAAACGTCTTTGGATTCTAGGTTGATGCTGCTTCACCCCTCAATACTAACCAGTATCAAAATAAAACTGTTCAAAAATATTAGATCAGGAATTTAAAGGCTTAATTTCTGATTATAAAGAATTATATGCTCATTGAAGATAAACTTTTAATACGGAAAAGCATAAGTAAAAAGAAACTATTACCCCACCAACCTGAAATAAACACTGTTAATATTATAGCACTGTTAATATTAATTTTCTACATAGGTAACTGAGAAATACAAACACACATCTATTTGTATATCTTTATTTCTTTTTAATACATATTATAAGTTCAGTTATAGTCTACTTTTGTCACTTAACATATCAAGAGCGTTTTCCTTAATGTAATAAAGATTCTTTCATAAAGATAGTTTTTAATGAATGATACCATTACATATATATGTATAATATTGAGAGAGAGAAAGAGGACTGTAAGAATTCTTCTATTTCTAGTTGCACTAGCTCTTTCATTAGCACATATTAGGCTTTGGAAAGTCAATCCACTTATCTGCACCCATTTGCTTATCTATGAAATGAAATACAGTTTTAAGGTCCTTGCCTTTTCATGAGTCAGTGGGTATGGGCTAATGTGCACTGGGTGAAGGTAATCTAGAGAGGTGGAGTACTTTTCCTTTACTGAGCAGGAAGTTCTGGAAAAGTACTAGGTTTCCAGTATTGTCCTCTAACCGAAAGGATTCCTGAAACAGGGTCAGGCAGTGTGATTCTACTAAGGAAGGGTTGCCAGAATAACTCCCAGAATCCAAATGTTGACTGTCTTCCTAGCTTACAAAACGGGCAACTCCTCATTTCTCAGACAGATGGAGGAAATGATACTTGCCTCTAATATCATGACTATGCTCTTTTAGAAGGTGTATGTTAAAATGTTTTTTCATTACTTTTTCATTGATTGAACAAATATTTGTTACTCAACAAAGTACTAGATATTGGGCATAGACAGATACCATCCCTGCCTTCATGGAGCCTAGATGCTACTGAGCATGACAGAGATGAACTAGAAATTGCTTACCTATCTAATTAATTAATTACTCTTATGGAGGAGAAGTTCAAAGTGCAGTGCATCTAAAGAGGAAAGTCTGGGAGGACTATACCACAAAATGAAGCTTAATGAATATGGAAGAATTTATATATTAGGAAGAACATGATAAATGTCACATTTTGTTCTTTCTATTCTTTTTGCACTAGTTTTAAAACTATGACAATGTATTAATAATATTCCTAATAATATGTTAACATATGAGTGCTTATTATTTGCTAAATACATTATCTCTTTTAATTCTAACAATAGATGAGAAAACTGAAACTCTAACTGGGTAGGTTTGTGAAAGTCACATCATTAATGGGTAGTGGAGCCAAATCAGATAGGCAGCCTGAGTTCAGAGCCTACAATTTAAAAAGTTAGCCTTGATTGGTGTGGCTCAGTGGATTGAGTGCCAGCCTGTGAGCAAAAGGGTTGCCAGTTCAATTCCCAGTCAGGGCATATGCCTGGATTGAGGGCCAGGTCCCCAGTGCGGGGTGCGCAAGAAGCAACCACAAATTGATGTTTCTCTTCCTCTTTTTCTCCTTCCCTTCCCCTCTCTCTAAAACTAAATATATAAAATCTTTAAAAAAATAAATAAAAAGTTACAAAAATACTAATACCAGGTAACCCTTATATAAGGTTTGCTCTAATCAGGCATAAATTAACTCATTTAATTCTCATAAACACCTTTGAAAGTTATCATTTCCACTTTAATTGAGGAAGCTAAGCTACAGGGAGATTAAATACTGTGGTGGCCAAGATAATACAACCAGTGGCAGAAACACTGCCACCACCCTGCACTACATTGCACTACACTACACTACAGCTGTCTGTCATACTTTTTAAACCCAGTTACATACATGGTTCTACATAGTTGCGCTTCTAACATTTTTACACTTGTAGTATTGTTTCCTTTCATTTCTCATTATAGTGTAATTATTTTCCCTTATTAAAGCTATAAACATTGTTTTCTTTCCTCTCTTTCCCCTGTGTTGTTACTGTTGCTTGTTGTTTTTACCACAGGCACAGAGGATTGAGTTAATCATCTTCCTCAGTTCATGGGTTGTGAGAAGACCTCATCCCCATCCTCACCCCTAATCCCATGTCCTCCCCATTCAGGCACCCCCTCCAATATTTTGATATGTCTTTCTAGATCTAAATATCCTTATAAAATGTACAGTATTGATATGTATTTTTTTCTTTTGAGATATGATTCACATACCTTAAAATTCACACTTTGAACTATATTATTAGGTGGTTTTTAGTATATTAAAAAAGTTGTGCAACCGTCACCACTATCTACTTCCATAATATGTTTATCAACCCCAAAAGGAAGCTCACTCTCTGCCCCAGCCTTTAGCAACCGCTGATAAAATTTCTGTCTGAAACAATGCTGCAACTGTAAAAATGTTAGAAGCGCACCTATGCATACTTTTTTCCCAAAAAAGTATGACAGAAAGCTGTAGTGTAGTGTAGTACAATGTAGTACAGTGTAGTGGCAGTGTT